AATGTAATCTCGAGGTCAGCTGATCAGCTCATGAATAAAATCAAAAATTGGGACCTTTATCAAGTGAGTTTGGAGGATCTAACGTCCCCAACAGTAATAATAATAATTATACTCGAGGTTCCCTTAGTGATGCGAGTCCACAGCATAAACATGTTCATCCTTTATTCTTGTTTAAATCCTGATCACTTTCAGCTTCTTTACTATCCATTTTTGACGCTTGTATTTACTTTTCAGTATATATTATCACTTTGCTCTGCTACTACGAGCTGTGGACCTGCATAATTTTGTGTAAACTTCATCACTAGTGTTAAGCATCAGGCGTGTTTGATCATGTGTTCTTTTAACTGCTGGAATTTCCCTTTTCCAACAATCGATAGAGCCTTTATTTATTTCTTTGAACTCAAAAGCATTGTTACAAAAGGCACTGAAATATTTATGCGCCACACAAATTGTTGAATTTGTAATTGAGCTGGGATACTTCCGGGACGCTCGAACTGAATCAGGTGGTTTACTTAGGTGACCACACCCTGAGCCTTTGATCTAAAAGACTGATCTACAAAGAAATGGAAAGGAACAAAAGAAATGCATTTCTTTAGTAGCCCATAACCAACAATAGCTTCATACGCCATTTGTTCCATCAGGGTTCTGAGGCCAATGTGCACTACTGGTTTGAAATGAGGGTTTTCCAACTCCTATAAGTAAATCGTTGACACCAACCAACGCAGTCTAGGCCCTAACAGGACACTAGCTTTTCGTGCTTCCAATTTTATAAACAGCGTCTCCGGTCATGAGAAGGCAGTGAGTAGGACTTTTCTGTCAGTGGCTATATATGCGTAGCGATGTGAAGACAAAGAAATGTTTTTGAGTAGAGAGAAAGCGAACTCTCCCCCACTCTCGCCATACCGGAGCCATTTAAAGACACTGTATACAATTGCTTCTGACGAGCTTTGCTTAAGAATATTGTCACGGTTTAGAAAGCTATTCATTTTGACGAGTCACTATTCAGTAGACCAATCATCACATAGCTGACAGAAAATAAGGTTTTGTTGGAATCTATTCAAGTGTTTCATGTTGAAGACGCTAAAATTTTGATCAAAAAACAAAATCTTAACTTTTACTGGACTAAATAAATCGTTAAAATTGTGCTTTTGCTTCACCTCTTTTTTGAAGTTGCCTTTTGATTCTGAATCAAATATTAATGTTACTAATACACTGAATGCTGTGGCTACCCTAAAGGATGTTGAAGGGTATGTCCGTTATTTATGCACTTATTCTCTATGTATACCGTGAATTTTTTCTTGGGGTTTATTTTTCTCGGATAACCAGAAATATTGTTTAACTTCAGTTAAGTTTGGATTTATTGAAGTAGTTAATGTCCAATACCTTTTAATTTCGTCCAAAGCATATTCTTGGCTCTGCACAAATAAATAGGTCATCAGTATATTTTTGACATACTGAATCAACTGACGGATTAACCCCGTCACAGGAACTGTGCTTCATTAATTATTACCTGTTAAGGTTTGTATTTTCCTACTGTTAATATTGAAGAATGAATTTCTTTCAATCTTCGTCGAAGTACGGGCTCCTTAAATGGTTGTCTTTGTTTAGAAAGTTAATTACGTTTTAGGAATTAGTAATCAACATAATCAATCACTCTTCTTTCGTTATATTGAGGGATGTTCAGGACCTTCATTCCTCCAGAGAACTCACTTGTCTTCCACAATCAGTGAAATTCCGTTTCGAATATCGACAACAGTAAAATGCCAACCTTCACAGTTGACAAAAATACCATTCTTACTCAACTCCATATTGTATTGAAAAAGTGTTTTGTGGGCAAGGCGTCATTTTAGATGAAACTGTAAGCTCTGCTTCAGGTTTCACAAGCACAACAATAAGGGAGTGTAGCCTATGATTAAACCGGAAATTAGAATTATGGTATAATAAGCAGTTAAGATATGAAAGTTACAAGTGATAATTTATGACTATCGACAGAGAGATGTTTAATATATTAGTAATTAATTGGATCGATCACCATATAATTGTCACTCAAAAATAGAGTCAGTATAAGATGTGCAGCATGATAAACAGCATATTTGTTTGCACCACCACAACAGATTTCGAACCTTTCAATCTGGAGTCTGTAACTATCAATTCAGCGTGTTTTGGAAACCTCAACATGCAATATACAAGTCATCTAGTGAACAATTTTTTATTGTGCATCTAATGTATTGTCGATGCCACAAAGATACGTTAAATGATTTTCTACAACTTACGAAGCGAACAGCCTTTAAGTAGTGACATTATGTGTGATTGTCAACTTTCATTGGTTTTTGTGTAGTGTAACCAGGTTGATAAAGATAGTTGTAACTACATGCCTTTATCAACTTGCAATTCGATTGATAGCACGATTACATGTTAATACGTTTTTCTTCAATTGCAAATGTCACTCACTGTCTTGGTTGTTAATATTGAAGATTTCAAATAATGTCCAAAATGTTTGTTTGTTAGTATGAGAAGGGATGCGTCAAATCACTTTACATCGTTGGTTGTGATGTGCTTACCGATTTGAAAACATGCTTACGACTAACATCACTTGGAAAATTTTCACCTTTTTCCTAAATATTTTAGTCTGCATGTTGAAGCCTTTGAAAAGTGTACAGGTGGAAATTCTTTGTATAATCTCAAGGAAACCACATTTCAATTCAACCAGTCTTAAAGATCGGTTAACAATACCTTTTCGTTTCAAAAAATACCATACATTCTACTAATTATAATCTTGTTAACCATTTTTCTCTGTTCCTAACGTTTAGTTTAAATTCCTATAATACAGCTATATTAAGTCGTAATGATATATTATGTCCCCGATGTGAAAGCTTAAAACAACAGCATGTTCATATACCTTGTACAGCAGCTGCATGTTATGCCTTGATTCGTCATGTGAACTTTCCTATAACTGGTTCCCACTGTGTAATCATTGGTTGTGGTCGTCTTGTTGGAGCACCTACAGCTGATTTGTTGTCAAGATCATGCGGTGCAACGATTACACAATGTCATATACATTCAAATAATATTAATGAAGAAATTAATCGAGGTGATATTGTTATCTCAGCAGTTGGATATCCAGGATTAATAAAAGGTGAATGGATTAGACGAGGAGCGTTAGTAATTGATTGTGGCTATACTGTTGTTAATGGTATGTGGAATTAAATCTATGGTCTTACTTTTTAGTACGCCTTTTTTGTCGGCACGTTTTCATGTAACTGAATAGTATAAGAATAATTACAGATTAGTACTGTTTAGTGAGCACTCATCGTTCTGTAGTGAATTCACTGAACTCTTTAACCATTGAATATTCTATTTTTGGTCAATGTATTTCAATTTTGGTCAAGGTGATTAGTGTGAAAAACCATCACATCAAAAATATGACTGAAAGTTTAGAGAGCAAACTTCTAGTTGACAACTGAAGTAGATGTTGATTTTATTGATCAATTATTACTATTATTACTGTTGAAAGGTTCATTTACTGTAACAGAGGGAAACTACAATAAATATGCGCCACTCGATTGGTAGCCAATATACAGGCAAGATGAGATTGCTACGTATGACGCTGTTTGTTTCCCACTAAATCGAGTTACTGCTTTTGTTTGACGTGTTATATGACCCATGTTTTCTATGAGAGAAAGCAGACAAACAGAACCAGTGATCAATCAGAGTTAGACATTAACACCGTGTGGATGCCGGTCCAGTGTTCCGATATTTAGGCGTTCGCGCACAATACCGAAGACCCCAGGTTTCGAATCCTGCGAGGTTTAGGAGTCTTGGTTGCGCACTGTTGATGATTCCCATACCAGGGACGAAACGGCCCCTACAGTGCTTCCTTGTTTCTAATGGTGGTCTAACAATCATTGATTGGATGATTTTAAATGTGTAAAAACAAAACCTCCAAATCTGTGCCCGAGAACCAGTGATGTCAAAACTGAAATGTATGACTCCGAATAGTGACAGATCTTGTGGTTGATTTGTCACAAATGAAGGCGGTAATTAATGCATATCGCAAGTGGCCTGCAGTTCAAGTTGAAAATACGATTAATATTTGTATTCGTTCTGGCACTTTATGTTCATTGAGCTGCTGGTGGCTTCTGTAAACAGGCTTGTTGAGGGTAGTTCTATTGGAATCACGATGTAGAACACCTTGTAGTCACACTTTTGGTTACTGTTTCGGAGCGTGGTGTTACAGTTGTACTACTAAATGCAGCTTCTCAAGGTCTGAGGGTAAACGCGTGCAGCTTACTGTAGAGGGGTTTTTTCAGCAGTAAGGTATTTTCTGTGGACCGTCAGCATCTTCAGCGATGCTGCCTTCTCACAAAGAAGAAATGGGTTAAAAATGGTAGACCCCAAAATTTCACACCCCACCTTACCTCACGGATTTCCGTCTTCGGTGCTAAAACGATTCAAACAAGATCGGAACTAACACTGAAAGTTTATAATAAAAGGGCGGTGCGTCGCTGGCCCCATGCTGTTGTCTAGTTTGAATGGAATATGTGACTTCAGAAAGGCTGATTTGGTGGTAGCATTCAACTTCCAACTGTTCGGTGATTTCAGAGCTTTTAGGTAAAACAGGATTCCTACCACGAGCAAGCTGCTGTATGAGTTGAAAAACAAAGGAATATGAGAGATGAGAATAATTGGGAGTAGAAAAATGAGTTAATGTAAAATAACAACCAATTGTTGTAAATGTAATTTTTGGGAAAGAGGACTGGAGCGAAAATAATTTTTCTAGTTGTAGTCATCCTTTGATTCGTGTGTGGGCTAGGACACTGGCCGTGTGCCTAGACCGAAGCAGGTGGTTTTGTAAGAGGGTCATACCCCGATTCTTCGATCTAGAGATCTAATCCACAAAGCATTGGATCAATGTTAGGAGACCCAGCCTCATGTCATCCGGGGTTCCATAGTAGGTTTATTCTTCCAGGATTCTGGAGCTTATGTGCACTATTTGTTTGAATTCATACTCACCATACCAGTATAAACGCCGGACACTTACTTTCCTTCCTTGCACATGCGTTAATAACACTCCCATCACGAGAAGATAGTAAGCTATATGTGCCGTATAAAAACATTTCAAAAAGGAGAGAGGAATCTTCCATCCTCGACTGTACCAAGTCATTTGGGATTAAATTACTAGTTAAACCATGGCTATTATTTTATGGCAATATTAGATTGTTTTCGTCCTAACGTCAACATAGATGTCATTCATCAGGGTGTTTAGTGAGTGTTTATTCTACTTTGTAGTATTGTTTTCTTAATTAACCATCAAATTGTGAGACTCTTGTTAAAGTTAATAGACATACAGAAAGTACAGATCTTTAGTCATAGATGTCTTCAAATTATAAACTGCATTTAGAGAAACCCCTAATCTGACGTTAACTATGAAGAAGGTCAGTTACTGAAGTTATGAATTCGTATCTGTTAGTACTAGTGTTGTCGTTTCCATCAGAATTCTAAAAGTGGAAATAATCTCAGAGTTTCTCATGCCACCTTGTACAACTCGCATATCTGGTAGACATGGTGGATTGATGCTATACATAACGAATTGAAAGAGGAAGCATATGTTGAACATTGATTTGCTTGTAAATACCTTGGAAGCAAAAACCATTATGTATTATTCGAGGTATAAGTGTAGTTTGTCACCTCCCTGATGCCCAAATCAAGGAAAACCTGTTACGCCTCCACGTAAACACGTCAACTTGATATACGTGAACTATTACGAGTTTACCCTAGCCGGAAACGAGAGCAAGGATTCGGTGACACGACATGTTACTCAAATCCGATTATTACAACCCCCATATTTAGTTAAAATAAAAAGACATGATGTGAAGTAGAACGTGTATTATACAAGGATCCAGAAAGCACGAGGTCCGAATTCAGAAGAGAATCAGGATCCCGGACTAGGGATCCGGGACCGAGCCCTGGTCGTGGTCAATAAACGTTACAGATAATGCGTATTTATACATTTTCGTAAAATAGGAAACAGCGTCGAATTCTGTGGCATTGATAGTTAAGACGACCAATAGGAAGTAACATTTGAAGTGACATTGATAATCAGGACAACCAATAAGAAACAACATTGAAGTATTTGACTTTGACAGTTATAACGACCATAATTTTGACCAATAGAAATCGACGAATAGGGTTTGACCAATAATTCTCTTAGGATATTAGATGAATATCCTAACAAAACCTAACAAAGAGACTATTAGTAGTGGTCTTAGCTTCGAAAAACCCTACCATTGGTGACAGAAATCCATGTTGTAATGCGTGGTGTGATACTTCTTGAGGTTGATCTTTTCTAACCCCTTTCGTTAGGAAAAGATATCTCCGCTGCAGATGCTGGTTGTCTGAGCAGAATACCTTGCTGGTATCACATCTGTGTACGGTCAGCGATACAACTCGGCTCTCTGACTTTAAGGTGCTACTTTTAGACCTACTGTTCCCCAGTTGGACTTTCGGATATTTTAGTACCTAAAGAAGCAAGTGTCACACTCAAGCTAGGTCAACTCGTTCATTACGAAATAGAAACCAAACCACATCGTCAAAGTAGCAACTGCAGTGATTTTCTCAGAATTATTATAAGAACACCATTTATTAACAAATCTAATTGATTACTATCAGTGTTATTCATCTACTTAGTTCAGAGGTTGATATAAATCAGCACAGTTATTATTATTTCTGTTTAAACAGATCCTCAAAATCCAAACAAATCACGATGCGTTGGTGATGTGGAGTTTGAGACAGCTGTAGAAAATGCCAGATGGATTACACCAGTTCCAGGTGGAGTTGGTCCAGTTTCAATTGCTATGTTATTTCGTAATACTGTGAATAGTGCTAAATGGTCTGTAGGACTAAACAATTCTGTATGTTCTTGTTCAAATTATTGTGAAAGTGATATTATATCTAAACAGTATACTGATAGAAAGGTATCTGTTTGTGAAAGGTGATAGATATCTTAATGAATCGAACCAATGAATATTGTTTCTTTTCGTCTTCTTTCTTTATAATTAGATATAGGTTGTGCTAATTCGGCTTTTCTTGAACAGATGCTTAACTAAAGATTCTGTATAGGGCTATTTCATTTATCTTATAATTGAGTAACCTATTGATAATTGCAATACTGGCAAAATTAATCTTCTTTTTTCATATACTTTATTATTATTATTATTACTATTATCTTCAAGTGATTATTTTAACTTCATGGTATCAATATCTTGTGATGTATAATGTTATAGTGTGAAATAATACCATAATTATGAACAAATACATACAACTGTTATTGTTCATATGAAATACAAATATATCACATTTTAGTGATTTATTGGGTATTTTTTTAGAATGTTATATTAAAGCGTTTTACTCGATATTAGAACAGTTTTCATTATGAAAATCATAATTCCAAGTGTTGGCTTCGAATGTGTATGAAATTTATTGGCTAGAAAGAAATTACAGTATAATTATAATTGATTGATCACTGAATACCAACCAATATCATATTTGTGTAGTCCTTTAGTGTTGGTAGAATTTTGTCGAGCAGGCTACCGTGTGACAACTATTCTGAGCAACTTGACTTCATCGGAACTAGGATGAGATGTTATATGGTTGGAGGTGGCCACTACAGAGCATCAGCTACCCAAAGATTACAGGTACATCTTACTAACGAGTTCCAAATCGCACGAAAACTGGGGTTTCCTGTCGACTGCCTTCAACTATCTGGCATCAGAGAATAACGTCATGGTTAGCGATTCTTAAACAGTGGGCATTCATCCAGTACTGAAAAAAAGTATGAGTTGTTTGTTATCAATTATGAGGGCTCTTATTGATTCTCCATAAATAGGATAGACTAAACCCAGTTGACCAATATCCAGCGATTCATAAACACGCAGTCATAAATGCCACCCTGAATAGATAAACATTTATAACTGATAAAAAATTGCATATCTCCTCAATAAGTTGTCGGCTGTCACGTTAAAACAGATGAGTACTAAGTTCTAGTCTTTGTACTAAAATTAGCATAATTTGGCGATATGGATGTTCATGTATATTATGTAACTGTGTATGCTTTCTGTGAAATCAATCATGTAGGGCAAATTTATGGTCAAATAAGAATAGTACAGAAAAGATGGTGACTAATAAAAAATGTGAATAAAACAAATATACTTTTTTATCCAAACCGTAACTGTTACCTTGACCTGAAGGTCGGGCTTGCCTATCGTGATGACCCGACCGAGCTATATTGGTTGGAACACATGTTCCTGTAAGTTCTAGCATGCTAGGCAGGTCGATTGGATAACGATCAGACTAAAACCAGTACTCAAGGTCTTAGGGCGAAGTCGTACTGCTGACTGTAGAGGAGTGCGACAGGAGTAAGGTATTTCGCTCGGACAACCAGCATCTGTAGCGACGCTGCTTTCTCACAAGGAATGAAATGTCACACCTCACCTAACCTCACGGATTCCCATCTCCGGTGATAAGGCCTTTCAAACAAGAACGGAGCTAACACTTGGAAAACTTCTCATAAAAAGGCAGTGCGTGGCCGACCTCAAGCAGTTGCCCCTTCGGGCTCCGCTGTCACGCTCCCAGGTCTCTGACACCAACACCGCTGGTCGAGTTAGAGCTTATCGCGAACTGTCATCGGAATTCTTCACTTCAAGTATTGTCCAATTTCTCCATGCTTGTTTAGTCTTGTCATAGACATGCTTCGAGTTATAACATTATCATCGTCTGAATTTTCAGGAGTGGACCGTGAGATTCGCTTGTTGACTTAGAATGTAATGATGACATAGTCCTATTCAATCAAGACCCTGACAAAATGCAGTGTCTCCTGACTATCCTAAGAAACAATGCAAGCATGTTCGGGATGCGGTTTTCCTCCTCGAAATGCAAAATGTTGCTTCAAGGTTTGTTTGTATCTGCACCTGAACTAGTGGTAGCGAGTGTAGCAGTTGAGTTTTTTGACCGCTTCACTTATCTTGGGAGTCTCATCAGTGCTGATGGCCTGGTGATTGACGAAATCTCAGCTCGGATACAGAAGGCTCGATTGGCTCTTACCAACCTGCGTCACCTATGGCGTCGGCGAGATATCCGTTCGCTAACCAAAGGATGAGCTTACTGCGCAGCAGTTCGCTCCGTCCTACTACATGGAAGCGAAACATGGCCGTTAAGAGAAGACTTTCGTAGGTTACTAGTTTTCGATTATAAGTGACTGCGAAGCATTGCTCGTGTATTGTGGAACAACCGTGTAAGCAATGCTGCCGTTAGGAAACGAGTACTAGGTAAGGATGGCGGCCAAAGCAAAACATGGGATTAGAATTGATGATTGCGTCTCTATGCTAATGTGGTATGGCAACTTGAACTGATGTACGTACCTACGAAGTTTACGTTGTAACTGACTGACTGACTTTTTTGGTCAGTTGAATAGAATAGTTCAAGACGAAAATTTAAACTGGTTGATGAGCGTAAAAGTTTCTTAGAGTAGTATTTGATTATTTACTCACACAAATCGTTTGCTTAAGAACGCAGCCTCTCTGGATAATTCTGTTGGATATTTCATCAGTTAGTTTGTTGAATATCTTATTAGTTTTATAAAATATTTGTAGTATCCTCGAAATTCGTAGTGGATTATTTTGCAGTTTTATTGAATGACATGATCGATTATTCTTCGTGAGGAACTGTCTTCTTTCACGAACTGAAGTAAAGGTTCTCACTCCGTTTCGTCATCATCATTATCATCGAAGATACCTGTCTCGCTTACCAATTGAGTTCGACTAATGATCATGGGTTTTAACCAAAACTTTGAGAATTCGTCTACAAGCTGACTACAAATGAATGATTCCCGAAAAACCGTATCGTAATAAAAATATTAGACGTCGTTAGAAATAGATAATCGATAGAATAATGCATACAATGAGAGTTGATCAGAATGGCTGGCGGTAAACTGTGCTTTGCGTTTAAATCAATAAGTCCGAAAAATTTATATGGTCTTTAAATAAACAAAACATCACCATAATATCCAAATTAAAATTTTCGATCTTTGTCAAAAGTGCAAATGCTTACAACGACAAAGAGTGTAAAATAATCTAATAAGCTTCTTGGGGATTTTATCTGTTCTTTGACATTTTAAGATGAAGAAAGTTCAGTTGTGACCAAAATTATATCCTTATTTTCATCTTCTGTTCTGGAATTTACCACTAACTTGAAAAGTAGTTTGAACGTTAACAAATAAGCTGATCTCATCAATTTAAATAGGTTGATACTCCTCTGTAACTATGAAATGCCATATACGACAAAGTTAATGTCAATAACGGAATGTGCAAAAGAAAAGAGTAAACTTCACAAACGAAAGAAAAAAACAAGTTTCTCAGAATAATGACGTTGATATTAATGATAGCAATGATGGAAATTATAGTAAAATATGATCATATGAGTCTGCGTTATTGATATTTTGATCGAATTCAAGGGTAGTTATTTGTGTGACAGATGATATATAGTAAACAATGTACAGTATAAAGTAGTAACTAAGTGACTTACGTTTTTGACATGACTCTCTAGTAGATTCTCTTCAGTTTTTTCAACGGCATTAAATACCACGCCCTTTCAAAAGTCGCTTCAACTTCTTATCGATCGATGATTGGCTAAAAGGGATCGAGAAAAGTAAATATTATTACTTATTGTCTTGTTATTTGTTCTATTTGGTTACTGAACAATATGGTTTCTTAATTATTCCTGATATAGTGCGGTATTATTTTGTCACAGTTACTTAATATATTTGACGTGACTGGTGATAGTCAAGTTAAAAGAATCATATGAAATTAATGATATGAACCCCGCCTAATATGTTTACGAGGCTAAGCAGAAAGGAGGAACTCATATCGATTTCAAATTAATAATAAAATACTGAACTCCTGGTCAGGATAGTGAATCCTGAAACTATACCCTTTTAAATTAAAAGAACTTAGTCTTTAATCCCACATGGATCATTTTGACCTATGTAGTGAGTATAGGCTTAGAAAAGAGGTGGGCGCCTCAAATTTTAATTAGTGTTAATGACGTCACTCTTATCGATTATTTCAATACCATCGGTTTAACACATGTCCTAATTACCCATTTAGACAAACTATTTGCGAAAACCTCCCCAAGTTCACTTCCTCATGGGGTTGCCACCTTTGAAGCTATTTCAAGCCATAAGAAAACAGAAAGTATTAGAACAATCTCAATAGGAAGTGCAAAACCACTAAATTTTACACATTTTACAAGCTTATTAAACACCGACTTAGACCGAAAACTCTGTCGCCAATACTTCCAGAAATTGTTAACAGAAAAGAAACCAATATTCACCAACCACTATGTGAAGTAATCACATATTTATCCGGTTCTTATTGCTCGACTTTACAGGTTTCAGATTGTAGTGACTTGAGCTAGATACTGGTTCTTACTGATTATACGATTATTTGCTATGACTTTGAAATACCTCAACCTTCTGTTTATTCCAACGGAACAAGATGCAAGGATGAGAGCAAGACTGTGGAAATGGACTGGACTATTCACCAACTCTTTATGAAACGACATTCATTAAAACGATTACAAACTACATATCATTTTAGAAGATTTTGAATTAATCGAGCTAGTGATTAATCACTAATCTAATATGTGTATTTTCAATATAGTACTTGACCTGACTGAGAAATATAGTTCATCACTGAAATATATATTTTATTCTATGTGTAGCCCTGATGATATAGTGAGTCTGTGATCGTCGATGGCATAGTTCAACATCAAAAACATCCTATCTTATCAATTGATGCATGTTGGAAAAATGGAGGTTGGCGTAGTACGTCAGAAATGAAATGCATTACTATTGTTATTTGTTGACAATTTACTATCTAAGTGAATGATCGGAATGCCAATGATATCATGTTGTGGGCCTATGTCAATGGGGATTGCGCAAATTACCATGACAGCAGTATGAGGATGATTTTATCTGTTTGCACTGGTAAATTTCACACATATACCACCGCTCTCATATCGAACATTTTTATTAGTGGGAATTAGCACGCGTTGTTGACAAAGATGATGTCGTTAATCTACTGAGGACACAAATACTTTTCTGTGTAGTTGAGAAGGTATAACTTTCCTATGTGGTGAATACTGGTTATCAGTTTTTAAAAAAGTGTGAACATAGTGCCTTTCAAAGTTTATGACCCGAAAATGTACACGTTCCTCCAACCGGATATAAATAATTTG